GCAGAGGCTCTGCACGCCTTTGAAGTTGGTGTTAATTCACACTAGACTGTTACAAATCTAGGATAGTAACTGTACTGAATGCAATAACCAATAATATCTAAAAATACACAGAAGAGGAATGAGAAGAAAATCAAAAAGGTACACCAAAAAAATCAAATAAAAAAACCAAGAAACAACAGAGAAAACGAGTAATAAAAAAGGTATAAGATATACAGAAAACAAAGAACAAAAGGCAGAAGTCCTACATTATCAGTCATTCAGTCATTATTTTAAATGCAAATGAATTAAACTCTCAGATTAGCAGAAGGGATAAAAAAACATGACCCTACTGTGTGCTGTCTATAAGAGACTCATTATAGATCAATAAGTACAAATAGGTTGAAAGAGAAAGGATAGAAAAAGATACTCAAAGCAATAGTGACCAAAGTGAGCTGGGAAGGTTACACTAATAAGATTAGACAAAACAGTCTTTAAGTCAAAAATTGTTACAAAAGACAAAAAGCTATGAAATATCTATAAAAGGGTCAATTCATAAAGAAGATATAACAATTATAAACATATACACACTGAACAACAGAGCTGCAAAACAAATGAAGCCAACACTGACAGAATTCAAGGGAGGAATACACAGTTCTACAATGATAGTCGAAGCCTTCGATACTCCACTTCAAATAATGGATAGAACATTTAGACAGAAGGTCAATAGGAAACAGAGGACTTGAACAACACCATAAACCAATTGACCCTAACAGACATATAAAGAACACTTCATCCAACAGCAGAATACACATTTTTCTCAAGTGAAGATGGAACATTCTTCAAGTTAGATATTTTAGTCCACAAACAAGTCTCAATGAGTTTAAAAAGATTGAATCATATAAAGTATCTTCTCCGAACACAATGGAATGGAGCTAGAAATCAGTAACAAAAAGAAAACCGGAAAATTCACAAATATGTGGAAATTAAACAACACAGCTAAACAGTCAATGGGTCAAAGAAGAAAATACTAGGAAATTAGAAAATATTTTGAAATGAATGAAAATGAAAACACTGATTATCAACACTTACGTGATTCAGAGAAAGCAGTGTTCAGAGGGAAATTTATAACTGTAAACACCTGCATTAAAATGAAGATCTCAAATAACATAACTTTATAGATTCAGCAACTACAAAAAGAAGAACTAAATTCAAAAACAGTAGAAGAAAGGAAGCAATAAAGATTAAAGCAGGGATCAAGGAAACAGAAAAAAAAAGAGAGAGAATCAGAGAAATCAAGTTTGTTCTTGGAAGACATCAACAAAATTGACAAACCTTTACCTAGACTGAAAACAAAAGAGAGAAGATAAAAGTAACTAAAATAAAAACCTCAAGTGAGGACATTACCACCCACCTTGAAGAAACAGAAAGGATTAGAATAGAAAACTGTGAACAACTGCACGTCAACAATCAGATAACGTAGATGGAGTGGAAAAATTCCTAGAACGACACAAATTACCAAAACTGAACACAGAAGAATTAGAAAATCTGAACCCACCTATAATAAGCAGAGACTGAATCAGTAACAAAAAGCCTCTCAACAAAAACACCTCTCGTAGGAACTGCCAAATAATTTCTTCAGACATTTTAAAAACCTGAATGGTCATACAAAGGGGAAAACGGGAATACCATTTTTTTAGTCTTCTGTACAAGTAGAAAATGAAAATTATACCCTGAAGAATAAAGTTCTTCTGAAACCAAAAAGACAGACAGACAGACAAAATATGAATGAGTGAACCAGCATTACCGAATTTGTTACGCAAAGATCACAGGAAGGTATACACATGGACAATTTCCTCATTTTGATGAGATACAACCTGATTAGATTTTCATGCCTAACAGGCTGCCTATACTTTAAGAGATTAGGTCAGGGTTTGAGAAATGCCCAAGATAAACAAACTGACGTATTCCAAAAAGTACTGCTTTAAAATGAGCTCTTATTTTTATTACCAATTAAGACTAATCTTATAACCTAACATGGATGGGCTTCTGTGATATAAGGAGAAGAGGAGCAAGAGGAAATGCTGCTAAACGACAGGGGAACTGAGGGGACCCTTTGGAAGTCTCTTCATGTTGGAGGGCAGCAGAAGGGAAGGGTGAGAGGGTATTGGGGGAAGGAATCCTTCGAAAATAAAAAGATTATCAATTACTCACATGAGGGAGGGGAACAAAGGAAAAAATGCAAGAAAATGAGTTCCTATTCTGCAAATGTTTCAACTGCTTAAAAGAAAAAAAGCCCGTCTATAAGCATTGCAGTTAGTGAAATAGTATCATATGCCTGTAATGTGACGCAACATAATGTACATATCATATGCATTCATGACAAAAAAACTGTAGTCTGAAACCAATCATGAGAGAACAATCAGACAAATCCAGAATGTGGGACTTTCTAAAAACAGTCCCAAAAAAGTCAGTCGTGGGGATGTGTGTCTAGACCAGTTTAAAGCAAAGAATGTAACAATTAAAAGCAATGTATAGTCTTGATGTGGTCCTTGACTGACAGCTAAAAAATACATTTACTTTGGACCCCTGGGAAATCTGAGTATGAACTGTATATTAGATGATACTATGAAATTCTTGTTAATTATTTTAGATTTACATTTTAGGTGTGGTAATGATATTGTGGTTAGGCAGAAGAATGCCCTTTTTCTTGGGAGATATGCACTGAAGTGTTTAGAATAAAATTCATGATAACTGCAACTTACTTTCAAATCGTCCAGAATACATGTATGTATATACATGTATACATGTACATATATATATACACCTAGGTGTGTATGTACACACACTCACTCACACACACAGCCCCCTAGATGAGGAGGTCAAGAGATAGCGAAATGTTAACAATTTGTTTACGGAAAACCTTATGTTTACACACTCTACATTTTATACACTTTTTATATTAAATAATCTAATAAGAAATCACAATTTCTATAGACTAAAGACAAATGATAAATCTTAAATAGAAAGACAAGATACATTTCTGATACCTTCTGACAAGATACATCAAAGAAGAGTCAAGCCACTTAGCAACCTGTACAATCAATGCTGACCACGTTCCTGTGCATCATGCCGGCCTCGGAGGACTGGCACGGACGGAAGCCCTCCATTCTGCCCCATGAAGAGCAGAGACAGAGTCCACTCCCAGCCTCCTCCACAGTGGAAGAAGGCCGGCAGGCAAAGAAAAGCCCTGCACATGCTGGGCCTGTGGACCTTATTTCTGCACAAAAGCCGAAAGTCTACTTCTTTCTTAAAAGCTACCTGAATTCAGGTATTCAGCTCTATCTGGGCTGCAATTACATTTTTAAGCCTGCATAAATCAAGTATAATTCTTAGCCAGAGTTACACAGCAAAAGCACTTAGTCAACCCTAGTACTGAGACAAGCCCTAAAAGTGTAGCTAACAGTTTACAGTTAATTCTCAGGGTGTCATTACTAAATATGTAAATTATATGAATTCCCAAATGCTTCATGTTGAATTTTTTTTATTTCTTGCTTTGGACTTGTTGTTCCATTTATCCCTAATTATCACAATGAATGCACGATCTTCCAAACCTTCCCAAGAATCTGACTGGCCAGGCAACATCCACAGAGCCCAAACTTAAAATGAAGGTCTCTTTTTGTACTAACACACACACACCCCCCTTACATTTTCATTTGTAGAAAAGGTGACATGAAAAGATAGAACAAAAACAGGGTCTTGAAAATGGCAACAATTCTAAAATATTGACAGTAACTGAAAATTTTCAAATACAGTGAGCAGAGTATGAAGAGGCAACAGAACATGTGCAAAGAATGTATGTAATACTGTATCTTGAACTATTTACAGATTGAGATAAAGAAAAAGAGAAAAAATTACTGATGTAAAATTTTCAAAAGATGCTGAAAATAAAATGTATTCAAGCTGTTGAAATAAGTGTGAAACGTGCAGTAGCACTAAGCCCGCCCATCCATAAACAAGATAAAAAAGCTACAATATGTAGCCTATGATTTTCCTTACTTTTCTATTGCTTATACCACTGAGTTTGGAAATACATAAATCAACAAAGAAACTAACAAATAAAAGGAGACAAAAATTTTATTCAGTTCCAAGCTTATCTTCAGTTTAGAAGAGTCTACAAAGACTGACACAGGAACTGCTGAAGGGAGTGCCTCAACGGATGACTGCAAACCCTGCGTGTCACCACTTAGAGGAGGGCGCTGGTCCCCCAAGAACCACGGCCGCACTAAGGAGACACAACACATAGGGAAAATGTTTAAAATATAGACACTAAATTGCCAATCAAATATAGATCAAATCCAGACTGGAGGAACAGTCTATACAAATACACTGGGGTAAGATGACTCTACGTGTAGAAAGACAGTGTAGGTTTGTCTTCCTGAAGAGAAAGAGGCTCCAGGTTAGTAAATACCTAAGGCCTTCACCCTAGCATTTGTCAGTGTGCTTCACCCACCTCTACAGAAGGGACCGACAATATTCAAACATAGCCTCAGGTTCTATAAGACATACTCAGTTCTATTAGGAATTCAAGTCTTTCCATTCTTCTCTAACTGGAAACAGAATCACTTTGGGCCTAGGACACATTATTAATGTGTCTACCACACACATGTTACCTACTACAGTCAAGATAGCACACAGGGTGCAAGATACACAAAGAGGCCTTCTGAGAACTAATCTGGTTGAACAGAGTTAATACAATGAAAAAATGGTAATCAGAGAAGACCACAAATGCTAAGTGCCAGATAAGAGGAATAGAGTAAGACAATGAAACAAGAGTTTGCTAGGATAATTTCACAAAGTTTCAGGGGGAAGCTAGAACCTGAGCTTGGTCTTTAAGGAAGAGAAGAATATTCTAGCATGGCAAAACCGTAACCAATGGCACATTCCTTAGGAGTATAGCGCCCAAGGACACAGGCTCTCTCTGCAATGACTGTCAAGCAAGAAGGTTTGGCCTTTGCACTTACTGCCATGTATGGTCTACACCCAGCATCTCTTGTCTTGGCAATGGAGTCCACAAGCTGTCCACTGATGCCAAAGTCACAGAGTTTAATATTTCCACTTCTGTCCAGAAGAATATTGGAAGGTTTGATATCTGCAAGAGATAGATGCCATTTAAAGCACAGTAATCAAATGAGCTATATTCTGAAGTACTTTAAGCAAAAATATTGAAAAACCTTAGACAACATAAGTGATCAAGTCCTTAAAATTCACATATATAAGAGGAGAAAAATGAGAAAACAATTTTATGAATGCTCACGCTTAAAAACTCAGTATCAAAAAATGCTTCACAATAAATTTAGGCATTCTATAATGTTTACTTTGCATCAAGAGACATCCATTTACTTGTTTCAAATTCATTACTTGACAAAATACGAAAAATGAAATTAATCTATGAGAGTATACTAAACTACTTTACAACATGTGCCAAAGACAATACAACTAAAAGCAAAGCAAACCAATTCTAAACCCACAATTTAAAGTAGAGCTTTATCTAACTTAGCAAAGTATCCAATCCAGTATATCTAAAAGACCACAACTTCAGGATCAGAGAAGTAAAGGTTCAAGATCTGGGTTGAAATTCACAATGTGACCCGGGGTGAGCTCCTGAACTTTCACTTAGCAACCACACTTTCCTCACCAACAAATTGAAAATAATAATTCTTAATTCATAGAGTTGTGGAAATTAAAACACCTAATATAGTACCTGAACTTTATTTGTACTCAATGTACCTACTTAATAATTATTTCTCCTTGAGAGATTTTTCTGATTTTAGATGGTTTCATCAAGTTTCTCCTAACCAACCATTTCTTAGAGTCATCCTTGAAAAACCAGATTCATTTTTACCACTCCCAGAGTGTGCACTTTCCTGCAAACTGGAGAAAGCTGAAGCCCTTCCATTTGGTTCTTCAGGTTTTTGCCAGTCTTGTCAAATTGACCCCTAGGTCATCACCCCTTCCTCACTGACAATCAGCTCACTGCCAGTATATACTCATCAGCTGTCTAGCCAATTCTTCCCCTTTGCTTACTCATTCTTTATCCCTATCTCAATCCTTCTACCCATTTCATTGTCACTGTCATGGCTCAATGAATAAAAAGTAAGGATACAAATAAATATAGAATACAAAAAAACATCTGTCCATAACTCAGGTGACCTACAAAAAAATCCAGAAAATATATCTTACCATCACTGACATGGCTGATTGCCTACCAAACATCCATTCCTAACCACACCATCCTTTCTAACGGAACCTGCACTATACTGAGGTATCCATCCTCCTCTGTGCAGCTCTATCCACACCTCCAAAAACTGGGTCCTGACTGGTCTAAGCTTATCAGGGTAGTCTCTGCTATTTGCCAGGGCAACTAGTTTAGGTAAGGACATGATGCAGTTCTAGTGAATGAAACAAGAGAAAACATCAGAGACACGTAAGGAAGATTTCCCTCCTCCTAAGACAGCCACACAGGAAGAGAAAGCTACCTCTTCAAGAGGCTATCATGTCTGGATATGACATTGGGGACCTCCTTTAGTTGTTACTATCCTGAGGATGGAGCCAACATATTCAGGAGGGCGGAGCCAACATATTCAGGAGGGCAGAGCCAAAAGAAGGGACCTTGAGCACTAATTATATTGTGCTTGGAGCCACCCTATCTTTGGACTTAAGACAGATAATGAATTTCCTTGAAGTTTATGCCAGTTATCAGGATTTTCTGTTACTTGTGATTGAAAGCACTCTAATTGCAGCAAAAAAGCCAATTGGTCCCAATTGATTGAAAGACTATCAATTCATCATTTTATTTAATAATAGGAAAACCACAATTATTTTTGACACCTTTCCCTTTTATTCCACTTCTGCTCAGCTGTGTGGCCAGCACCGCTTTAGTACTGTACCATGACTGGCAAGCATCCCTAAGGTAAGTGTCAAATGCCCTAAAGGAGATACTCTCGTAATTACAAAACACAGCCAGAAAAGGAGGGAAAACACCAAAATAAGAACAAGATGAACTACAAGAGAAAGAAAATAATTTTATTCAGGGACCTAACCCTACATAATTTTAGGCCTACCTAATATTATTTTCAACAAGCATTAAGCCAGGCAAAATCAAATGAAATATTCTGATGTTCAAGGGTAACTAATTTCAGTGGTCCAGGGTCACGTGACCCCCAAACTAAAATTACTTAAATTAAGTGCCTCAATTACTAATTTCTTTAACCATGAGAAACTATATTTCTTAGAATTCAAGATTTTTCACTTCTGTGAATATGACCTTTTCCTTTCTATCCTATTTATTGTCAGGCTGAACCACACACTGTCATGTATTTCCTTGGGTTTGCGCATTACAAATTTACTGAAGAGAGTGAACTTATGTGCCTCTTCAAAGCCACCACCTCACTAACCTGAATCTGGCATAGTAATAAATAGAGCAACTATTTAATCTATTTGCTGAATTAAATTTAGGATTCCCACTGTCTTCTGATAGATCTACATCAAATGGTTAAATTTGGACACGTGTCTAATAAGGCCAAGATCACTGTTTTCACAAAGACAAATGCCTTAGAGGAATTTCAGTGTACAATACTATTTAAAGAACCTCTCTCAGTTTGCAAAAACATCCTCTAAAGTAAAGAAGAAACACTTAACGGGGACAATAACGTGCCTTTAAAATGCTCAAAGGTACTATCCCTCAGATCTTTCTTTGAATGTCCACAAGACCAGCTTCGTGCCTTATTTGTACCCAGAGAAACATTAATTACCTATCAGGTAAACAAGTAAGTATTTTTCAGCTAAGGGTAATAAGAACTTAAAGCAAAATCTATTTCAATTTCTAAGCCCAACATACTAATAAGTTAGACTGAAATTTACAGAATCTCATAGGTAAAAAATCCTAAAGTAATAAAGTTTTAGGGTACATACAGTAAATTTTGCTAAAAATACAGATATTTCAAGAAAGCTTATACAGTGACACTGTAATTTTCAATAATTTTTTTCCTATTAAGGAAAAACAGTAATTTCTCATCTGACTCGTACCCACCTCTGTGAATGATTTTCAAGTTTTCCTTTAAGTGGTTTAGAGCCTTCACAGTCTAGGGAGAAAAAGCGGAGACGGGATAAACAATTTCCTTCTAATCAAACAGCACGAGAGTTCATCATCATACATAACAGCCCACGTAGCCCTCTGCATTCTTTTAAGTTTAATGTTTCCATATTCTGTTTATTTTTTATGTTAACTAAAGATGCTGAATGATGGTGTTAGATCTGAAAATTTAGTTCCCTTTTCCTGCTGCTCCCAGACAACTAAGAAATCCTGATAACTTACAATTTTAGTCATTGAAAGTTGTATAACGTTTCTTGTACCTTCGAACTTTTCAAGAATAGAAATATTTAGTACAAAAAAGCCCAACAGTCTGCTTCCATTATCAACCCTCATTTACTAAGTTTTTCCAAATTCTCACTTTCCCACAATCACTCACTCTCACTGGGTACTGAGCCTTTAAAGCAATTTTTCTAGAGCCAGAATCTCTCTGCTCAGCCGCTACAGCAATTTATCCAGAATTTACCCTATTGTTTGATCACTGCTCATGATCAGAAAATCAGAGATTTGTTCAGGAATGAAGGTAACATAGACTTCAATTAAAATTCCACAACCTCAAACTAAAAGAGAACTAAGAACAGACGAAGAATCTGCTACAGAAAGGTCGGGTCTCCACTGCATCAAGCTGCTGGGTATGAGGACTGCAGAACAGGCAAACCTGTAACATGTCCAGCAGCTAGGCTCGTGTGTTCACTGGGTTACTAATGAGCAAGAAGCAGTTTAACACAGAGTAATTTTAAATGCTGTGCTTAATGTAAAGGGTGATCACCAAGTCTAGAAGCATAGGCAAACCCATAATAAATGATTTATTAGCATATTTATACTACACATATTGAAATATATGATAAAATAATTTTATCTATGTTTTTCTACTTCATGATCACCCTGTCGTACAGTAGTTAAGACCAAGTTTCTGGGATCAGGCTACCTGGGCTTAAATCATTTACCACTTACAACTGTATAAACTTCAAAGAAAATTAATTACTTAACCTCTCCATGCTTGAGATCTGTCATCTGTAAAGAGGGGGGTTACACTATTTACCATAGAGAATTGCTATGGAGATAAAATGTCATAAGACGTCGGCCTGACAAATAAACATTCAATAACCATTAGCTACTATCATTATTCTACTACTGTTCCATTACAATTATTATGAACAGTCATAAGTTCCAAAATAATACTGGGTGTGGTATACTGGAGAAAGATGACTAAATTGATCAATACAAAATTTCATATATCTATCTGAAAAATGAATACGTTTCTAACATAACTCAGCTTTTTATAAAAATTATATGAAAAGGTAAATATCTTAATATTTAGCTCATAAAACAAATTTAAGCATTAATTCGACTGAATAACTTAAAATATTAACATGACACCTAGGAATCTTAAGATTATAATGACTAGTTTAATCAGATTTTTAAAATTCCAATTATACACACATACACCTTTTACAAGTAAAATACAGCTCAGCACTGTCTATCTATTTTTAGCATTAGTTGGCAATTAAGAGGTAGACTCTGCTGGAGGTGGCAGATGCAGGGAAGAAAGAGAGAGGAAACTACATGTAATCAGAATATCTATCATACAACTTCTTATAAAACTTAGTTTACAACATCCACCCACCTAGGTCATGTCATTAGCTCAGATTCTCAGAGATTCATAAGAATCTTATTAATTTTACTCTAAAAAGAATTTTTTTGGGAAAAAAACTGTGAACAGCCTTTGTCAACTGAAAGATTCAGAGCAAGAAATAAAATGATCATGAATTCACTTTCAAACCTATAAATGCATATGCAAAAGAGTACCTCTTTTCTTTCTGGTACGCTAGTAAAAGTGAATTGACCAAATTAGTAGTAATGTTGGTTACAGAAAAAACTTAAATAGTTTAAATTGGATAACCCAAATCTTAAACCACAGGAAATAAACTTTGTCTAGAGTTTCAATTAAGGGACTTCAAGGAGACTGCTGAGATTCTGATAATTGTGATAATATAACTTATTTAAAAAGAGTTAAAGGAACAGGGGAAAAAAGAAACAGAAAATTGCTTATACTAGTCTTATTTATGGCACTCTCTATTAGGGTTCAATGTGATTTTAATTAAAAAAAATTGTAGTATTTATATAGAGCATATTTTGAAAATTGTTCTTACGACTTGTTGTGTTAATTACCCCACACAAGTGATCTTGTCTCTATTCCTATTACAAATGATTTCACAGTAACATCAATAACATTCTGTGAAGACATTCAGATATGTGCATACAAACCCCAGCAGCATCTTTATATAAGTATATATAGAATCAACAATTTGAAAAACAGGTACTTACTGCTAAAGTGATTTTGCCTAAAATTTCTTCTGGAATAACATCATCTAATACACTATATACATATTTGTAAAACTTATCAAACGAGGTAGACATGAGTTCCATACAGATCCAACAGTCACCCTATAAAATAATAAATATACGTTATTCTTATACATCTTAATATTAAGTACCATCTTTCTTTTACTTAAAATAGAAATACAATTAGAGAAGAACCAATCTTTTTTTTTTTTAGTATCAAACTAGTGATAATTTTTGGTTCCTTACTAAAGCCCTGGACAGAATATTCTCCTCATGTTTAAACACAAACTTATTTGCCCAATTTTCCCCACTCTTAATTTTAAGGGCATAGATAGCCTTACATAGAAAACTTTTCTGCTTTTAAAAAAATTTCAAATTTTGCCACAATTACATATAAAAATAGAAAATATGTGGAAACCTGTTCATTCTCACTAACAAAGAAAATAGGTTACAGTAATCTTGAGATACTATATAATCTTCTTAAGCTAGTAAAAAAGAAAGAAAAAAATACATAAAGCAAACCCAATGCCCAAGTCCTTGTTCAAAATGTCACCTTCTCAAGTGGCTAACATTTAAGATGCCTAGCTGATTCAAAATGCAAGTCACTCCACTCAGCATCCCCTTACCCGGCTCTATTCTGGACAGCTCTTATCATCTTTTAACATAGAATACAATTTACTGATTTATTATGTTTGTCATCTATCTCCCCTACTAGAAGATACACTCCACCAGGACAGGGGCTCAGCAAACATTCCTTAAATGAATGAAAGCTGGCTATAATTAAACTGAATCATTCAAAACTGTTGGCTGCAATATAGAGTGGTTTAAACCAGTTTGAAGGCAATTTGACAAGAAAACAAGAGAAATAAAAGTGTTTATACCCTTTGATGGAGTCATCCCATGACTGAGAATCTAACTGAAACAAATAGTCCATAAACTACAAAAAGAAAAAACAAAAACAAAACTAGAAACCAGTGAACTATCTCACAAGAGCGAATGGTACACTATTAAAGGGATTATCTAAAACAAAATTATTTGAAAAACTATACAGTTCATGAGAGGTACGCAAAAGAAAATGCAGAATATGAGCAGATATGTTATAACGCTGTACAACTAGGTGCACATATGAACAAGAACTGCAAAATACCTTATAAGAGTGAAAACAGCTACCAGGATGATGACAGAAGATATCTTAAAGGATTTTGCATGTTGTCACTAATTTATGGATCCAGCTGTATCCTTGGAGATTTTCTATCACTAACCTACCCCTCACATTGATCTGGACTGATTATATAAGAGCTTAATGCCTGTTAAAGTAAAACGGTTTGCCCAGAACAGTGCTGCTAATTTGTGATAGAGCCATGAAAAGAAGCCAGTTTACTTAACTCCTTTCTCCTACCAACACCTATGACGCAAGGATACCTAACTTACACATAGAGAAAGCATCTTATGATGGACCAGATGGTAACAGCACTCTTACAAAAGGACCACCTGCTACAGCGTTCACGTAGCAACACAGCTTCACAGAATGCTGTTCGTAAAGCGTATTTGACATAGTAACCTTTTACTTATGTTTTCCCTATTTAAGTCTTTCTTTTCTCTCTCTCTTTCTTTTGAATGCTCTTGCAGAATGGCTCTCACAAAAGACTGAGTGACACCCTTCACCCAAAACACACACTTGAATTTATTTTCATCTAAAGACACCATTTCAATAGATTTACTAGAATTTTTTTATTAGAGAAAAAGATAGCACATTTAACTCATCCACTTAGAAAAACAGCAGGGAAGGAACTTAACCTCAGTAGTACAATGAGGTGGAAAGATCACTGATTGAGCATCTGAAAGGCCTGACTTATTATCCAGGCTTTCCCACCTTCTACTTACATAAGCTTTAGCTCCCTCAATTCCTGATCTACGAAATGGGATTGCTGACCTTCCTAAGGGACTACGATAAAGATCAAATCAGTCAGCATATGTAAAGCACAAAATAAAGTGCCTGGCAGGGACTGAAAGCTACAGTTAAGAAAATGAGAGAAGGGGGAAGGATGGAAAAACAGGAAGGCAACCAAAGAGAAAGACAGACCTGGGCACAGGGGGCTAAGGTGACAAGTAAACTGGGAACTGAGGCTGAGAAGAGGAGGTGTGAAGGAGTAATTAGGTCCAGAAAGGGAAATCTTTGTAGTTTCTAAGGCACACAACCCAATATAAACTTCTTACTTCTTCTGGCAGTTCTTTTCGGACATAACTGAGAACAGACAACAGCAATGAGCTGCATTTAAAGAAATGGAATGGTCTGAGCTGCCTCAAAAAGCAGTGACAGCAACGTTACTTCCATGAGATGACCACATGACTGAAATGCAAAAGTAGAAATTCCCGAATACAGATTTACTGAAAAAAGTGTAGACGATAATGAAAAATTGAACTACTAAGATCAAGAGATCCTAGAGACAAGATCCAGATAAAATCAGTAACATATTTACACACCAACAGTAACCACTTAGAAAATAAAATGCTTAAAAAGACACCATTCACAATAGAAAGGAAAATTATAAAGGACTAGGAATATATGTAACAAAAGAGGCAAAACATTTATGAAAAGAAGCAAGAACTGTTACTAAAGGACATAACAACCTGACCAAATAGAGAGGCAAAGCATGTTTACAAATGTGAGGACTCAAGATCACAAAGATCTCAAATTCCCCCAAATTAACCCAAGAATTCAGTAAGATTCTAATCAAAATTATCAGGCACCTAGACAAGCTGATCCTAAAACTTATATAGGAAAGGAGAGCCAAGAATAGCCGAGATTATTTTAAAGAAAGGGAATTGATCTAAGAGACAAAGACTTTTTTTTTAAATCTGATTCAGTCTAGTTTCACTTTTTTTTTTTTTGCAGGAAAGGATTTTCCCTGAGCTAATTTCTGTTGCCAATCTTCCTCTTTTTTTTGTTCTCCCCAAAGCCCCAGTACATGGTTGCATATCCTAGTTGTAAGTCCTTCCAGTTCTTCCATGTGAGCCACCACCACAGCCTGGCAACTGACAGATGGGTGGTGTGGCTCCACAAGCAGGAATCAAACCTGGGCTGCCAAAGCAGCGAGAGCGCTGAACCTTAACCACTAGACCATCAAAGACTTTCCATGAAGCCATCACAATAAAAGAGGGTGGTACTGATACAGGGGGAAAATAAACATACCAAGAGAACAGACTCAAAAGCCCAGGCATGTACAGAAATTTGACTTATAATAGATATAGCAAAGCACATAGTGGCAAAAGGATTGACTACTCATTGAATGCTGCTGGGGCCAGTACCTTCTATATAGAAAAAAATTAAATTAGACCATTACTTCAAATCATTCGCAAGTAAAAATACAAAAACTCCCAAATGGATTTTTTGAAAAACAAAAGTTTAAAACTTTTTTTATAAAAGTTGTTTATGACTTCAAGGCAGGAAAAAATTTCTTCCCAAAAACATAGATGAAAAGAATAAATCACAAAAGGTAAGACCTGTTAAATTTAACTCCATTATAATGAATATTTCAGTATGACAGAGGACACCTTACTAAAAGTTCAAAAATAAGACAAAAATGTCTATTTAGATAAAAAAGAAACAAAAGATTAGTATCCTGAATAATAGAGCACTATGCTAAATAAATTAGAAAAAGACAAAAGTTAATAGAATAATGGCAAAGGGAAATGAATAGGCAATTCACAAAAAAGAAAACCTGAACACACAAGTAAAAAATCCTGTACCTTGCCAGTAACTAGGGAAATGTAATGTTAAAGGTGAGATACCACTTCAGACCCACCTGAGTGCCAAAAATGAAACAATGAGATCTGTGACAATAAATGCTTATGACCCGCCCAACAAACACTTCCCCTTTGTTACGTACAATGTGCCAGTGCAACGACACTTCCCAGTCTTCTATGTAGAGAAGGGCAGCCAACAAGATATCACTGCAGTCGGCTGATGATTCCAGGACAGCATGTTTAGTCCCCTTCCCTCTTCTCTTACTCGGTGTGGACATGATAGCTGAACTCTAGGAGCCAACTTGGACCATGAGGCAATCTTAACAGTGGAAACCACAAACTAAGTAAACCACTAAAAGCCTCCATTACTGACACCTGAATACAATTCCTGATACAGAAATCCTCATTCCTACTGATAGGAATATAAGTTAGTATAACCACTATAGAGAGAAGTATGACAATATCCTCTAAAGTTGAAGATATTTATATCATTTAACCTAGCAATTATATTTTTAGGTATATACTCTACAGAACCTGTAACCTAGGTTGTCAAGGAGACACGCAAAAGGAAGTTCATTTTTACACTGTTTATAATTGCAAAAAATTAGAAACAATCTACACTAGGATTATTAAAGAAACATAAAATATGGTATATTTAACCATTAGAATACTACATAGCAGTTAATATAAACTAATCAATTCTATATATTATAGATCTATATTTACATGGACAAGCCTTGAAAATTACGCTGAATTTTAAAAAATGCTACAAGGGATACACACGGGATGATTCCATTTATGTAAACTTTGAAAACACACAAAGCAATACTATGTATTACTTAGGATAAAATACATATTTGGAAGGCCTAAATAACAAGTTGAAGAAAACATTAACTTCAAGGTAATGTTAAGATCTGGAGAGTAAAAGGGAGAACAGAATGGGGGCTGTAACTATATCTATAACTTAAAGACGACTAAAGGGCAAATATGTCAAAATACTAACCGGCAGTGTGGGTACAGTGCTATTCCCCTCTAATTCTCTGTATGTTTGAAATATTTCATAGTCTAAAAGAAGCAAGAACTACCTTAAGAAACTAGAAAAATAAGAGCAAATTAAATCAAAATAAGTAGAAGAAAGGAAATACAAGTGAGCAGAATGAAAAATTTTAAAAACAGAAAATAGAGGGACCACCTTGGTGGCCTAGTGGTTAAGTTCAGCATGCTCTGCTTCAGCAGCCCAGGTTTGGTTCCCAGGAACAGAACTACACCATGCATAGTGGCCATGCTGTGTTGGTGCCTCACATACAAAATAGAGGAAGAATGGCAACAGACGTTATTAGCTCAGGGCGAATCTT